ATGACTCGAAGTTTCTGATACCTTTCTAGAATTTCTGACAGACTCTCTTCTAATTGAGATCTAGGAAAGTTAGAAAATACCTCTTCTGCCTCTGAGTCGTATTCTGATCTAGATGATTCAGTGTCTTCTGATATGTTGGCCATAAGGGTAATGTTTTCTCTTTCATCTTGTGATTATGTGTCTACTTCTGAAGAGTCTGAGTCATTCCATGTTGCCATGAGAATTTTATTCTTCTCCTTAAAGAACTTCTTTTTAGGTTTCTCCTTTTGAAGCTTTGGGCAGTCGCTTTTGTAATTCCCTTGTTCATTGTATTCGTAGAAAACAATGTCTCTGTTTCTTGACTTTCTGTATTCAGAAGATGATTAAGACTTTCTGTATCCAGAAGATGGTTCAGACTTTTTGTATCCAGACGATGGTTCAGACTGATTCCCTGTTCTTCTGGAATTTCTGAACTTCCTTTGCATGTGCTTCCACAGCTGATTGACTCTTCTGGAGAGAAGAGACAGTTCATCTTCTTCTGATGAGGATCCACGAGAGTTTTCTTCTATTGCCTGCAAAACTTTATATTCATATTTTTTGTTAGATTTAAGGGCTAAAGACTTACCTTGCTTCTGGGGATCATCACCTTCTAACTCTATCTCATGACTTCTGAGAGAGCTGACAAGTTCTTCTAGAGAGATTTTATTCAGATCTTTTACCAGTTTGAGAGTAGTGAACATGGGTCTCCATTTCTTTGGTAAACTTCTGATGATCTTCTTTACATGATCAGCAGTTGAGTATCCTTTACCCAGAACTTTTAGCCCAGCAACCAGAATTTGAAATCTTGAGAACATTATTCCAATGGTTTCATCTTGTTCCATTTTGAAGGCTTCATACTTCTGAATGAGCGCAAGGGCTTTGGTTTCTTTGACTTGCGTGTTACCTTCATGAGTAATTTTCAAGGAATCAAACATGTTCTTTGTTGTCTCTCTGTTTGTGATCTTCTCATACTCTGAGTATGAGATGGCACTCAAGAGAATAGTTATGGCCTTGTGATGATTTCTGAAGTCTCGCTTTTGATGATATGACATTCTTTTTCTGTCAATCTTCATACAGCTTTCATCAACAGGATGTATGTACCCATGTATCACCATAACCCAGAGATCAGCATCATGCGCCAGTAAGAAACTTCTGATTCTGTCTTTCCAGTAATCAAAGTTCTCTCCATCAAAGATTGGAGGTTTTCCGCCGATTCTGTCTTTCTCATCATGGTAGTTATTGTTGATGTTCTGACTTGGCCCCACCATAGTGTTTTTCTTAGCTTGGATCTTTTACTGACACAGTTAAGTGCTTGAACTCAGAACCAGGCGCTCTGATGCCAATTGAAGAATGGAAAAACACAAGAAAGGGGGGGGGGGTGAATTGGGATTTTTAAAACTTAAAGTAAAGAACAAGTTGGTTATCCTGGTTCGTTTGAACTCAAACTAATCCAGTCCATCCGCCAAGGTAATTTCGCCTCTCTCAACGAGGTCTTAATCCACTAATCAATCTTGATTACAAATCTACTTTGACAACCGTTAAAGTCATCTTGAGTATAAACCACAACCCGATTTTTCTCAAGGAATTTCTCTAAACAATATTTGAATAAATGTGTACAAAAGTGTTTTCTAATAAAACAGTATCACAAGGATGTTTTACACAATTTAAATTTTGTACGTTTGAGGAAGATAGTGATAGCAGCGTTACTACGCATGTGAAAATCATGAATTATTTATCCTCAAAGCTTTGTTTAAATAGGCAAAGCATGTAGGATCATTTGGAAAGTTGATCAATGACAATTAAGGTGCTTTCCAAAAATAAAGATCCTTGTCCCCTTCCAGCCATTACTCTTGAAATGGAAATATTTGATTTGTAACGCTTCAGAACATGCCTGCTTCAGAAGATCAAAGTAACTGTTGTTGCTTGCTTCAGAACTTTGTAGGTCAGAAACACGGAGTCTTGTTTGTATCGTTAGAACTTCTATTAGAGATGTTTATAATCAGACTTGAAACAGCATTTTAGCGTATCTTTTGATCTTCTTCCATCAGAACTTCTCTGCAAAACAGATTATAATTTTAGGGAGCATAATTGTTCTTTGCGTTTGTTATCATCAAAACTCTTACAAGGGTTGTAGAATCAAACTATGTTCTAATAGTAGAATCTATTATTTTGTGCATTGAGAAAGAAACGTGTATAAACTTTATCTAATCCTATCATTTTATGCCTGATTTATGCCTGATTGAAATAGTAATTTGTAAACTTTATCAATATTTTTAATATAGATTAATAAAGAGTGATTGTTAATCAATATTATATGTCCTAAAATATGCACACATACAAAAACAGCTTGCATTGTGGTCACTGTAATCACACTGCAATATAACTTTGTTGTAATTAGTTTAGTAACTAGCGGATAGATGAGACCTATAGAAATACTGCAGTCACTATAATCATTCATTCATATTCCATATAATACAAATCAGAAATTGATGAAAGCTTGCCATGGAACTTCATTGGCATATATATTACTCACAAATATTTCCAATGAACTTAATTTTCCAACAGACATGAAATACAAAAAACTAAAAATAAAGGACTCACCTCATCAACCTCAACTTCCTTGGAGTATGTTCATCTTTCTCTGAATCTGCAGCACATTGATCACAATCCTCAATTTCAACTTTATCCGAATTTGCAGTGTCTCAATCACAATCCTCGCTGAAACTAACTTCTGTGTTTTTTGAATCTGCAATCTTGTTATCAAAATTATCTAAGTATTACCTCTATGTCACAATCTTTAACTTCAACATTCTCCGAATCCGCACTGTTTTGATCACAATTCTCATTAATACTAACTTCGGTGTTTTCCTAATATGCAATCTCATTATCAGAAAAATCTATGCCTATTACCTCTATTTCACAATCCTCACAAAACCACATGACCATTTAAACAATACCAGAAAAACATAAAGTTTGTGTACATAAGGCCATTGTAACATAATATCATATAGTTGGTTCAGCCACAATTACCACAATCGCATTCACTACAAATACATGCAATGTAAAAGTAGATAAAAATGCCAGTAACTAACAAATACCTATGCAGTGCATAATCTTGACATTTAAAGCAATATACCAAGGTTTCCTCAAAGCCTTCATTGCCAAATTTAAGACAAACAGAAACCTGAAACAAAAACAGGTAGAAAAAGTTATAAATTGTATAATGCAGTGATTCATAAAAGATGTATAATAATAATTCTAGAAAAAGTTTCATGTAACGTTTCAGATTCAACATTGAACTTGGAAGCAGAATCAATATCCATCAAGAGATATGGAGCAGCAGTTCAATATTTGTTTCTTCAGATTCTATTTGTTAGGAAAATGAAAAGTCAGTTGTTTAGATTCTATCTCTTGGTAACGACTTCCTGGATACTTCCATCTGCAACGACTGTGGTTGTATAAAACCGATTATGTACAAAATTGAAAACAAAATCGATGGTGTCTTTATTGAACATATCAGAAAAACACAAATATATTAGAATCAAAAATTTCAAAATGTTAATCAAATTCAACTGCAGCTACCAGCTTATCAAAACGTGAAATTGAACAAAATCAAATATATTAGAATAAGTGGATTTTGCGGAAGACAAATATGTAAAGCAATTTATCATACCCCAAATTTGTCCGCTTTATTTTTGTAACTTGGTTTCATAATTTTTTTAGGTATTACTAACATTTTGGGTTTTATTTGTTTTTAAGACTATTTAAAAATATAATAATTTATTTCAAAATATTTGTATTTTTAAATAGCAAATACATGCTCACCTTTCATATGTTTTAAATTGTCTTTTTTATCTCGAATGAAATGGCATAGCATAATTGGTAAAGAAGCGAGCCTGCAAATACAAGGTCTTCGTGCGTTTTTTTATATGTTTGGTTTATTATCACTAATTTTATTTTCATCATAAAAAAAATCATTTTTTTATTATTTAAATATTATTTTCGTATTTTTATTATGGTACTTTTAAAAATTATAATAAATATAAAAAAAATGTTTCATTTTCTAAATAGGTGTTCCTTTTTGGTCATTCGATGTCATTTTGTGTCACACTTAATTTCTGATTGGTCAATTTTGTTTTTATTTCCAATTTGGATGGTTTTTTTTATCTATAAATATGACATGTTTTTCACACTTCTAAGACATCCACAATTCATAATATCCAGACATTCACAATTTCACTACAAATCCACGTATCCACAGTCTCTGCGAATTTCACAGTTTCACATGTCACTTTTGCAAATTTCTTTTCAAAATTTTTCTAAAGAACTTTATTGGTGTTACTTTCAAAATATTTTTAGCCGATGATTTGATATGAGGCCACCCTCTTATTTTCAATTTTATCTTCTTAATTTTAATTTATTCGTTGTTTAAATCCCATGATGAATCTCTAATGGTTATCTTGTTCATTATATTTTTGTGAAAATTATCATTTGATTCCTAATTCTTATTGCTATTATATTATATTTGGTATTTCTAACATTCATCACATACTGATATTACTACTCACTCTCATTCAACATTACATCTTGTGCATATTTTTTCATATTAACTATCACTCTTGCACCATCTATGTTCTTTTCCAATAAAAATCAATTTCGAAAGCTAACACTCCACAATTTTTCAAAACATACTCTATATAAGTTTAAATCAACAAATTACTAACACCATATTTCAAAATTCACACCACCTGCAAAACCAAATTTTTACAAAATCACTAATTTTTGTAGCAATTACACAAACTCTAATCTCAAAAACATCAAATCTCATATAGTACAATCTGTACAAATTTTGTTTATCTTTTTTGCAGAAAAACAAGAATAATAAACAGTAATATCAATTACAGCAGAAGAAAATCTACACAGAAAAAGCAGAGAAAAAAAATAAGAATTGAATCCTCGTTGATAAATTGTGTAATATATTCTTGTTGTTGTTTTTTTTGTCAATTCTGCTCACAGGAAAAAAGAAGAATCTGATTGTCGCCGAAACACCAACGTCGAAGCAGTTTCTCTCCGACGAGACAAACCAAGCCACACATCCAACTGCTACAATGCAGATCCAGCCATCATTGTTAATAACAACCTGATATGTTCGACGCTGCTACAATCACGACCACTCGCAGAATCTGCCTCGCCGCAGCCACCGCGCCCAATCCACGAAGTCCGCTTTTGTACCAACGAAAATGAATCGACGGGATTGCACATAATCAGCCGACCACACTCTTCAATCCTCCGCCGCCATGAAGACAACACTCTGTTAATGAAGCTCCTCCCTCCGATTGCAACCGCCGCAAGCACCTCCATGGTGTTTTCTCCGTTGTTTCTGTTCCTCCGCCGGTAACATCCTTTATCCCTTTGTATTTAATTTATGAGGTTTGATTTCACTTTGTTGTTCTTTTTGTAATCAACCGAAGGAGACGAAAGAAAAATATGATGAATATAAAGAGAGAAGAGAAAGGGTATTACGTGAAAAGGAAAAGAGGGATTTGAGATCTGTTTTGTTTTCCTGATGATATTACTTATAGTTAATTATTATTATTTTGTTTTATTAATTAATCCATGCTACATGTCAAAATATGAGTGGTTGGTCAAAGATCTTAGAAAAAATCAAGATTGTAACAAATTATCTTTCTTATTAGCTACTGATAACAGGATGAGGCGTTCCTCCTTTTCTTAGACTTTTCTTGTGATTATTTTTTAATTATTTTTTAATTATTATTTATTAAAATTCTAAATTAAGCTTAGATGTTGTTAACTTGGGCTTAAGTCAATTAGGTCTAATTTGTTAGCTAATTATCCCACCTCTCTTTTGCTAATCAACACCTTCTTTTTATATTAATTGCATCTTTGATTTACTTGTTTTATTTTCGATTTAGTTTTTATACTAATTAAGTGTAATTATAATTATGTATTTAATTTTATCAATAATTTAGGAGTTTAGTCCAATTAAAACTCAAAATCCCCTCTCATACATAAATCACCAATCTTATACGTAAATCACCTTTTATGTTAATTCAAATATTCTATAAATAATATGATGTCCATCTTCGAGTAATTAAATCGGTCAACACATTGTCTACCGGTTTATTATTCAAAATTAAACAATTAAAATCCACGCAAATTCACCAAATTCACCATCTGTGAATGACACGTGGCCAATATATGGCACGTGATGAGGAGACTATATCATACTCTCCCGCTCTACGTCTTAAAACATCTAACCAACAATAAACCATTTACTACTAACATAACAAAAAACTTCAAGGTTATTTTAAAAAAGGATTAAATAGCATTGTCTTCGAATCCAACTGCGAACTACGTCTACGATCACCCAACTTGCAACTCATACAAGGTTCAAAGGTAAATTCAAAAGCAAATCTACACAATCCATAAAAAATACTAACATCGCGATCTACGAAATGAGGCTCTGATTCCTCCTAAGAGGATACGTAGGCTAAAGATTAAATTCGTGGCGAGTCCCCCTAATTAAAATTAAACCTTTTTCCCCTAATTAAAATTAAACCCTTTTTCCCCTAATAAAATACTAAAAACCCTATTCCCTAAAGATTAATTCTAAATCTAGTATCCTTGCGAATAAGGTAGAAGAGGGGTGCCTAACACCTCCCCTTCGTCTAAAACCGAGTAAAAAAAAAGCTAGAATCTCTGACTTTTTAGGGTTAACCTTTATATTCCCTTCCTTAGGATAAAAATTAAGGATGACGACTCTTATTTTAAAATCAGTTGAAACACAATTCAAGAATAAAAATTGCTAGAAATCGAAAAACAGAGAAATGAACTGATCGGTGTAATCGGAAAATAGAAAAGGAAACTCACCGATTATTCTTCCACCCATGTGGAATTTGCTTCTGCGGAATGGTGATATGTGGTTTGAAGAATTGCGTCAATTCAATTTCTAAGTCCATTCAAAACATAAAATTGATTAAAAAAATGGAGAGAAAAATAGGAAGAAGTCAGAGAAATACTTCTTCAAAACATTGAGACCATTCCTTTCTCAACAAACCATACACCAATGAATCCCTATCATCTTCATCCCCCAACGCCACCTTCAACTCCTTAAACCATTTCGCAGCAAACTGAACCCTAAAATTTCAGGAGCATTAAAATTATAACATCATTATCAAACAACCAAGGTGTGTTTGTTTCTGGTGAGTTTCGGGTGATTTTGCAGCGACGGAGTCTGAATTGATGGCTCATATTTTGGAGCTTTGTGGCGACGCAGTGACGAATCTGTTGTGTTTCATTTTGGTTTCAAAAGAGAATGAGGGTGGCGATCTTCAGTTAGATTTGGGAGAGGGAGAGAGGTGAAGGAAGAGGGAGAGGAGATACATGGCCAGGTTTGGTGGTTTTTCATCCATGGTGGTGAATGTGTAGTGGTTGATGACAGAATGAAACAACTGAGACCTTTGATATGGAAGAATGTTGCATGATTTGTTTCATCTGCGGGGGACTTTTGCCGTCAAATGTTCACCTCCAGTCGACGAAGGGAAAAGCTCGACCACGTAGGCGAGTCGAGCTACGGGCCCGACCTACCAACCAACAAAGGCATAATGTCGTTCACTTTGACGAACAACATACATGCCCGACAGGGACACCTCGATCGAGCTCCGCTGTCAAAGTACCCCAATATGGCAGAACACCCAGCTCGTGATGGGCAGTTCACGCCACGAGCGTATGATCCCGATCGCGATCATACGCCCGTCATGCGGATCCCCACTCCGCGCCTTCGAAACATTTCAAAGTGCGTCGAACCTACATTAGGGTCGAACGGATATCTCCACACGAACGCAAACTTCATGAAAAATTCATAACAACCACGATAACGACCGGGCACATACATCAAATATTGTTATTCATCAGATAACTACTATAAACAAAGCATCCATCGAGTAGACAGTCATAAACAAAGCAATCATAATATACCGATCACAAGGGTTGGCGTTGTCCAAAATTACAGTTTAGGCACGACGGCCAAAAAACTAAAGGAATCAAAGCGGGCACGCAGGCCCCAAAATAACAGCGGACACGCAGGCCCAAATACACCAATAAAAGCATTACTCACTCCCCGGAGTACCAACTTCGACGTCAGGAGGAGGCACCACCCGACCATCAACAACCTGGGACAGAACCCAAGTCCCTTCAGTATTCAACCCCGGATTTAGCACGGACAGTTGATTCATAGTAGACTCAAAGCCATCGGCCAAAACATCAACACAGTCTGACTCCAAAAGTTGAATTCGAGCGATGAAATCAGCACGCGTGCGCAAGTCGGTCACCCCTTTAGGCTCGTCCTCCGCGGGCAGCATAGCATCCCTCAGATCTTCGACCTCTCAACAGCCGTTGGTTGTCACTCTCCAACAACTCCTTATCGAGCTGGAGGCATTCTTTGTCTTCGAGGGCTCTGTCGGCCCTCTCCTTCTCCCCCGACAGCACGTCGGACTGCTCCCGAAATATTTCCTCAGAGCGTTCAAGAGCAGTCTTCAGTTTGCGGGTTTTGGCCACGAGAGCCGCCTTCTCCGACTCCAACTCCTTGACCCGATCCGAGGAGTCTGACCCTTCACCCGCAAGGAACACCGCCATCTCGGCCATTTTCACCACCCCGATCATGCTAGCAGCGAGGTGCTTCCTCCGACCTTTCTTGTCGAGCCGTCTGATGATATCGGCCTCGTTGTCGAATACGGTCAATGGAAACCCCTCAAAGAAATCTTTTTCCACAAAACAGGGTGGCAGGCTGAAGGCCCGGGCACCCGCCCCTCCATCGGTCACCTCAACTCCACCTTCTGGCCAACTCCGTTTCTTGCTAATCAAAGCAGATTGGCGCTCGGTGTCACGGGAACCCGAGGATCCACTGGATCCTTCCATGGCCGACTCGGGGGTCGGACCTATTCGTGTGGCTTGTTGCGGCTTCACCAACCTCTTACTGATCTTCTTATCTTGGGTCAGCTTCAGCAACCTCTCTCGACGTTCTGCCATGTGACCTGCAAAGGAAATGTGCTCGGGTTAGCCACATTGAAGAAAACAAAAAAAGAAGGCTATCAAGAGTAAGCAAGAAACCTATGAGCTCTACGGCTTGCCCGTAAGACTGGCACTCAACGAGCGCCTTGGTGTTGATCGGACGTGCCTCGAACGTCGGCTCGCCATCCTCATCAAGAATGTTGTTCCCTTCCCTCGTAACCTACCGAGCGGGGAAGAAACCATCGACATATTTATTCAGGATTCCATAAGCCTCCTCGTCCTCGGCGCTCATACCGCCAACGGGAGTGTGGTAGTATCCAGGTCCATGGTCGTAATGGCCTGAACACCAGTGGATGGGAAACTTTGAGACTTTCTCAAATTCGGGATTACCCTCAGAATCCAAACATGGCTCCCCGTCCTTGTCCACCACGGCAGCCGGTTCGAACAGCGAATCCACGCTGTCTGAGTAGACGGTTGCAAAATATACCACTTATCCTTGAAATCCCGAACAGAATCCATGTACATCCTAAACAGCCTTTTCGACTGCTTAAGGAACACCCAGCTATGCTTCCCTCCTCGAAATTGCCGTTGCAGGTGAAAACCCCTAAAGAACAGGGGAATCGTTGCCCCGATCCTCAAGAAACGACATGTAAGTTCGAATGCTCGGATAAAGGAAATCGCGTTGGGATGAATCTGGGAGGGAGCCAGGTTCAAGTCACTGAACACTCCTATCTGGAAGTCGTTGAAAGGAAGTCGGAGCTCGAGATCTTTAAATACGATCTCGTACACAGGGAAGGCGTCCTGAGTAAACTCTGAGAAAATGCGGGCGTCCCTTGTCGGCCTCATGATCTTAAAATTTCTCTGAAACCCCTCCTGGCCGTCGTCGTACTCGACGACAGTATAAGCTTGCCTGCCGGTATAGCTATAGATCGAAGCTATCCCCCGAGATTCCGCACCGACCCAGTCCAGAGTAGGGTCGTCGACGGTGTCGACCAGATTCATGCTTTCCTCGGCAGTGCTAGTTTCCTCGGTGTCAATGTGCTCCGAGGACTCGAGAATATCGGCCATTTACCTGCAAAGTATAGGAAACCGATGAATTCGACAGCAAATCCGCTTTTTCACGACACAAACGGGGAGAAGTAAGCAACACTCAGACCAAGTCGACGACCATTCGCACGATAGAGAGGGAACACGTGGACCTCGATCGAACATCGACCTTAACGGCGGACGTCTATATCAATCATAAATATCACGGGCACAATAAGAATATCGCGAGCAAAGGATGAATTTCACGACCAAGTTCATAACATTGCTAGCCAGATACAAGAATGCCACGGGGAAAACTAGCCTATATACTAACGAAAGGGTGAATCTCACGACCAAGTTCATAAATTTATTAGCTAAACGCATGAATATCACGGGCATGATCATAAACCGTATGCTTAAACGTATGAACGTCGCAGGCATGATCATGAATCAGACGCCTAAAGCACTTGAATTCCCCGGGCATAATCCCCAGACACGAAATCCTACCACTAAACACCATCAAAATCTATCTACAACACAAGATAAATACACGACGGACTGTGCGACGGTCTCAGTGACACTGGGAAAACACGTGGTGTTGACGGCGGAGAAAATATGAGAGCATGAAAATGTGAAAACAAGTTATGGGCCCTGAAGCCCTATTTATAGAGCTAACGTGGAATGTGAAACGTCGCGTCGGGCAATCACAAACCGCCTTTATCCTCGATACCTACCCGCATAGTCAATGATGACCCCTACTCCCTAGGCCACCATTGTGGTTTCCAAGAGCCACGCCACGTGTCTAACTAGTGTATCATCCTCTCCCCCGAGTATTCCTCGAACACTCTTCGACCACTGCAGGAAGCAAATCATGAACCAGACGACGTCTTTCGTCCACGATAGAAAAACCCCGTGTCGCGCAGCGAGTCTCGCGAAGGGGAGAACTTGAATCAAGTCATGACTCCCTCACCAGGAGCAACGACTTGGGGGGCTCCTGTTCTAGACTGGATCCGCCCTTGGTCCAACTACCAGTAAGGCCCAATCCAAGCTTGCCAACCTGCTGCGCTGAGCAGTATTTCCCCCGAGCATATCCCGACCACAGATGTTTTGTCGACCAAGACTGCTTACCGCCGGTGCTCGCAGAGACCATCTCCAACGAGCATGCGCTCCTCCCGACCACCTTCCTCGTAGGGCTGACTTCCAACCTCTCCAGATTTCACGGAGTCTTCATAGTCCCGAAAAGATCGCGTCCCTATCCTCGCTGTCTTGCGGAGGACGTTATCCAGGTAGGGGACCACGTGCGGGTTCCCACTACACACGTAGAACCGACAGTCTCTTTGTTGGGCCTGTTTGATCAGTCCAATAAAAAGACCTTGGCCCAGCACTGGGGGCTATAAATACCCTCTCTTCCGAGAGGGTCAGGTATTCAACTGATATCTCAGAACTCATATTTGCTTGCTCATTCCGCTTCTTACTTTGTCATCAGAGTATCTTGCATGTACCCCCATCTCATTCAACTTCTGCCCGAGTCAGCTGTGACGATTCATCTTTGATCCGGTAAGATCATAAACAATCACCAAAGTAAAATTGTTAGTATAAGTATGAACGCACATCATTCAAATCAATATACAAAGTGCAGGAGTGAACAAAAGACTATAGAAATTCTTCACAATTTTGAAATGCAGATGGAGGATGACAGGATTAGCTCATTGTCAAAGATGGACCTCACTTTTTCCTAGCCTTGTTTTTACCGCCATTTTCAAATGTAATGTTTACCACCAACCCATAAATTTACCACAAGTTTATTGTACTATTAAGTTTCCTTTATTGACTGAAATATTAAATTTTTTAATACACGTTTTTACTTAAATTTTCACAGCAATATTATCATTTTCTTATGTTTGCTTATATAGACCATTTAGAAAATGGTCCAAATGTGTGGCTCTTGAGTCTTGACTACTTCAAAGCTGCGAATTCAAGAATGTACTAAAACTTATGAATCATCATGATTAAATTCAACCAACAAATCGACTTATAAACTAACAACTTTATCCCAAATCAACTTGATAGAATAACAGAATGAATAATCAACTTTCCAACTTGGCACTTTCAAACAAAATTAAACCAAGATACAAAGTTTCATAGCTTCAGGATCTTGACTAGATCACGGTATATGTTAAAACAAAGTTTTCATTGCTTGAGGATGAATCCTGATTTGCATACATTCACTAATGAAAACGGAAAGACAAATTCAAACTGGTTTAAATTTGTAGGTATTCAAGTATATAAAGAACATTAGAATGGTTGAAAATTGCTTTGGTTTCATGTGATAATAGCACAGAACTTGAGCACAGACAAATCACTTGAGCACATTAAAACTAGATTGAAGAACAGGTACGATCGGCGTGAAACAGAACAAAAATAGAATTGGATTTTGAAACAAATGCAATGCGTCACAAAGAAGATCGTTGAGTATCTAATTTAGTAAATATGAGTTTGAGTGAATATAAACAAAGTCTACCCAGGTAACTAAAGAAACCAGCAAGAAAGTGAGTTAGCACAATTTATGTATCCGGTATTGTAAACTAGCATGATTCTAGGTGTTAGCTAGTAAGCATAGTTCTAATGCGGTCCATAGATACAATGTAAATGTTTTAAATGCCTCTGCAACAGCATTGCAATTGCAGCTACAATGTCTATATTTGCTCACATTTTTCCACAATATCAATATTCGCAGCGTTGCAATAACCACAATTTAGAATCATGCTAGTAAGTTTGGCATCTACATGTTTTTCCAAAAAGCATATTATATCCTTCATTTCTGTATAACAAGTTCAATGCTGGCAACAACTAAACCAATTTTTGCAGGATCTAATTTAGGAAATGACAAATATTTAATCATGTTGTAGCAAACCATTGAACTATATATCAATAATACAGAAAAGAACTTCCAATCACAACTACATTGAATCACAGAAATCCTATCATATACGTCCTCTTCAAAAAACTCAACGAACCAAATATAACAGAAACTCGTGTTGTTAAGTAGCAGCCCTTATGGCACTACAACTTAGACGAATTTGAACAAATCACTATTGTTTTATGCTACACTATTTAGTACAAAATGCTGTCAAAAAAAGGCTAACACAATATTATATATCACAATTGCATAGCAGAACTTGAAAAACCAGTTGTTTTCAATGATCCAAACATAGCAACACTACTATAAATCACATGTATTATTCAAAGCAAACATCATTATATTACATAGATACACTCAAAACCCAACTAGCAATCAAAAACCCTTCTACACAAAGTAACCTAACCCGTCCCGTTGCTTTTATTCGAATCTAAAACACAACAAACAAGTTCAACTTTCAATGATAAGAAGAATTACCATTAACATTTAACACCATTGATCACCTTCTCACTCCCCGCATCACCATCCTTAACCTTCTCCTCCTCCTCCTCATCATCATCGGACTCCAACGTAAAATTCTCCACAGAACTCTCCAAAGAATGCATCTCAGCACCAAGTGGCGTATACTTCAAACCCTCGGTCTTTCGACCCAAATCTTCGACTTTACCACAAGTAAACGAATAAAACCCAACAAGCACAACAACCATAAGAGCAAGATGACAATTAAACTGCAGCGTGGCAATGGCTCTGGCTCTATGATACTCAGGATGCCCCTTACATCTCAAACTAAAATTCTCTTTACTAACCAGATGTAAATTACAACCCTCTGCAACAAAATTGGAGGAAAACAGAGAAAACCCCATTTGAACAAACCAAGTTCCTTGCAAAATAAGGCCGATTCCCCTTCCCAATTTGGGGACATTGGATTGGTAACTACCCAATTGAAGCAAAGTAGAGAAAACACAAACAGCAATAGGAACTAACAAGAGATCGTAATAGCGATTCTCGATTCCGGTAGGATCTTTTCGTTGAAGATAAAATAAAAGAAACTCCTCGGCGAAACCGAATGCGATGATTAGGTTAAGAAAAGGCGAAGGGAGGAAAGGAAGAAAGAGTGAGAGAAGTGAGTGGATTAGGAAGAGTGATGAGATAGGTAGGGTTTGGAGATGGAGCGGTAACGCGACGGCGTCGTTTGAGGTGTGGGAGATGAGAATTGAGACGATGGAGGATAGTGTGATGAGAGAGGTGAAGATTGAGAGAGTGATGTGGAAGAGTTTGTTGAGTTTGTTGGATTGGGAAGTGAGGAGAGATTGGAGGGAGCCTATGAGGATGAAACCTGCGCCTGTTAGGGCGAAGGAAATCAGTGACATTGGTGTGAATTTGTGATGAGATTTGGTTTCGGAAGTTTGAGATGGAGGTGATGGGTTTTGAGATGGAGAAGGTTCCTCGCTTATACCAAATTCAACTTCTCTAATCCCCGTTATGATGTTGTCTATTTTGAAAAGTAGTAATTGGAGGCAACCGATTCTAATTAAGGGTGGTAAAATTAATTGGGTCCGTTCGATTGGTTTGTTTGATCCGTTATTTTTACTGAATTTGAAGCGGTCAGATATTGTGCCTAATTGGAAAGCAAGAAGTGTAATTAAAGGTCTTCTTGCTAAATTCTGATAGAGAAGGCTCAGTTGTATCTAGATGCTATGAGTTTTCATGCTTTTGAGGAGATCTTGGCTCTATTGATCTACGGTTTGGTATTATTCCCTAATCCAGACCAACTCATAGATGGGAACACCATCAAAATATTTCTTACTCATAACCCTGTGCCTACTTTGCTTGGAGATATTATGCACTCTCTTCACACTCGTACTATGAGAGAACGAGGGACTCTCATGTGTTGCATACCTTTACTATCCAGGTGGTTTATTTCGCACCTTCCCCGGTCAGTGGTTTGAGGTGGTCTCAAAGGATGATGTCACTCTCTCATTCAGATATCTACTGGTGTTCCCGATCTCAGAATGCCATCACTATTATTGACCTCTATGGGGAATTCCCTAATGTGCCACTCCTTGGAATAAGGGGAGGTATTACCTACAACCCTTCTCTAGCTCTAAGTCAATTTGGTTATGATCTAAGAGACGGTCCTCATGGTATGATTATCCAACATATTGTATTTGATTACGAGAATGATCCTCAAGGTTACTGTCAAAGGTTTATACGTGCTTGGGGCATGGTGAATAAGATTGATAGTAAGACTTTGGGATACAAAAAATCCATTCCTTTGGAGCCATATCTCATATGGGTGTGATCTCATGCTCAAAATCTTATAATACCATATCCTGCTGTCCTACCAGTAATTATGGAGCCTGTTATTGAAGGAGATATTCCTCATACCATTTTTCATCCAGATATGCCTACTGACCTTGAAGAGCTACAAAAGTCTTTGATTCAACTTAAAGAAGAAAAAGACACCTTTGAGACTCAATTCTATGCTAGTGAGAAGAAAATGTTGGAGTTGACAAAACAACTTCACGAAGATCAGAGTCTTAATGCATATGTCAACACAAAGAGGAAGCGTCCATGGAAGACTTGAATATCAGGTCTTGGGAGTTCATAAGTTGTTTCCTTGTAACCTTTTTTGTTTTCATTGTAAGCCTAAAAGGCAATTATAATTTGAACTTATTAATAAGAGTCTTTGTTTATGTTCCTTTTTTATCAACAAATTTAAATCTCACAAGGTCCTTGAAAACATTACATATGCATCTACATGCCATACGTATCATTACATAACATGTCTCCAAGACAAGTTTCTCATCTTCTTGTTGTTTATCTAAGGCAAAAACGGCTCTTGAACAGACAGTCAAAGAACTCCAGGCTCAGAATGCTCAGTTCCAAGAGATGTTCCTAAATTTATCCAAGGGGCAAGAAGAACTGAAGGTGATCACCAACGAGAAGAAGAAGAATACAAAGAAACCAATTGGCATCCTTAACATGGGGAGAAAGTTCAGAGGCCCATTCAAGCGAGCTCAAGATCTTGATATCCCATTGGACGAAGACGACGAACGGGATGAAGATGGTAAGAGTGTTAAAACCGAAAGAAGCAATCATGGTTCTGATAAATATTTTGATGAAGAGGAAGAGGATTATTTGGATGAACAATATCCCTCTGCTGGTGAGAAATATAAGCTGCTAGAAGAGCGTCTGAAAGCTATGGAGATCTAGAAGGTGTCTGGCTTGAACTTTGAAGAATCAGGTTTAATCTCAAGAGTCGTCATCCCTTCTAAGTTCAAAACCCCTACCTTTGCTAAGTATGATGGAGTTTCTTGCCTGAAGCTGCATTTGAGATCATATGTTCAGAAAAATTCAACCACACTCTGCTGAAAAGAAATTATGGTTGCATTTATTTTAAGAGAGTTTGTCTATAACACAATTGGAATTGTATTATCAACTCGAAGGTACCAATATCCATACCTGGGAAGATTTAGTTGTAGCTTTCTATAAACAGTATCAGTATAATTCTGATTTGGCACCAACCCGCATGCAACTGTAGAGTATGACCATGGGCTCTAAGGAAGGCTTTAAGGAGTATGCACATAAATGGAGAGATCTTGCAGGCATAGTTCAACCTCCTTTAGTTGATAGGGAACTGGTTGACATGTTCATGAGTACGCTAACAAGTTCTTTCTATAATCATCTACTTGGAAGTTCTTCAGTCGGTTTCACTGAACTGATATTGACATGGGAACATTTTGAGAATGGAATCAGAAGTGGTAAAATTCAGGTGGCTACATCTTCGAATACTGTGAAGATGTCATATAATGGTAAGAAAGAATCAAATGATATGTACGCCCAGAAGGGTCGTAATAAGAGTTACCACAACCAATCTGTGGGGGCAATTTTGATCTTTAATCATGCACCAACGCAACATCAACAATAAGGCAATCAATCTAGGAAAGAGGCACCCAGGAGACAGTTCACCAAAACCAACATGATGTTGTCTCAAGCATTGCAACACATGTTCAAGGCAGATCTGATTACATTGAAGGACCCTCCTCATAATCCCAATACTTCCTCTCCCCATTACAATCCTAATGCAAGGTGTGCCTATCATTCCAATAGTCCCATACATGACACCAACTATTATTTGGCGTTGAAAAATAAAATTCAAGATATGATTGACTCTAAGGAGATTGAATTTGATCCTCTTGAGACTCCAAATGTGATCACTGCACCTATGCCTAATCATGACAAAGGCGTTAATGTTATTGATGATGTTTATTATTTTTCTGCTGTGAGTGACTTAACTACTCCTTCGATGATTATTAAGAAAAAATTGTTGCAATCCGGTTTATTTCCGTGTTACGTTGAAAATTGCTACTATTGTGCGTCCCAATCTAATGGTTGTGTACTGTTGAAAGAAGGTATTCAATGTTTGATGGATGACCGTGTAATTCTATTTGAGAAGACTCCTTCTGTGAAGAGCTTTTGTAAAAGTATGTCTCAAGACCCGGAGCTTAAAGGCATGTCCATGATTACAATTTCCAGTACTCTTGTAAGGATCACTTCTAAGGGTCCTATGAAGATTACTGTTGAGCCTGGCGTTGCTCCTCTGATCATTACCGCACCGGGGCCAATTCCATATTCCTCTGACAAAGTTATCCCTTGGAATTGTGGAGCTGATATCTACTACCATGGTGTCTGTTGTACCCCAAAATTTTCCCTCTCACTTATCAAGAATTTCCTCATAAGATCTCTTTGACTCAAGACTGCATTAGGATTTGACTAGCTCAAGACACCTCCTCAAGCACTAATGACCAAAATTAGGGTTTGAGTTTGCACAAGGATTTTTGGACTATCAATGCTTCATATGGCTTTCAAGGATCATCATGGACCCCCAAGATTACTCATGTCAAGTTTCAAGCTCTAAATCACATTTTTGATCAGTCAATTGGATAGTTGACCTAAAAATCAGCTGTATTGGGGAAAAAGTCAACCATGGCCAATTTTTAGCCTAATTTCATAATTTTTGATCCACATCAACATCTTAGACTCATATGTATCATTTGATCAAGTTTGGACCATAATTCCCTAAGAAATTTGATCAATTCATCAAAAGGGCAAAATGGTCAAAATTAGGGTTTTTGACTGAGAAGGGGCAATTTTTGATTTTTAACCTAGCAAATGGTCAATTGGTTTAAGGCATGATATCAAGAGTTAAATTGCATCATCTTGACCTGATGACATGGTTCAAAACATTGCAAACCCATTGGATTGACAAATGAATTTTTACGTCAACTGATCAAAAGTCAATTGTGCATTGAAAAGTCAAAATTTGACTTTTTGGTCAAATTCAAGTGCCAAGGATCATAATTCATCAAAACATGTTAAAATGTGAAACTTGTTCATCAATAAACCAAAGATTTAAGATTTGGATTTGAAAAGTTGAAAAATTCTAACTTAGAAAATTTTCTAAGTATAGAAAATTTCTTATTTTTTCTCAACTTTAGGCCAAATTTTTACCATGATACAAAATGATTCAAAGGAAGTTCCCAACATGAAAGTTTTAGATCTCCATGAAATCTACAACTTTTCTTCACACAATTTCTCCTAAAGATGCTTGGATTTCAAGATATAATTTTGTGAATACATGCTCGTGAACTAAAATAACTTAGTGAAATTTTGCCCTAGTTAGGCAGGTTTTTGACCTAACTTCATGGCAACTTTTCACCTAGTTCCGAGAGGAATATTCAAAAGCATTTCAAATATGGGTTGTAGATCATATTACAAGCTTTCCAAAATGTCCAAGAAATCCTTGAGATCATTCTTTAGTAGGGAGAATCGAAGAGACGAAGTTAGGGTTTTCAAACTTGATTATAGGTCATTTCCATGAAGAACAAGTTTTCAAATTTGCAAATTGGCTGTACAATCTTCACTTTTCAGGCGTCAAACTCGTTTTACACTCCACCATTAATGGATTGCACAAGGTTTCATGCCCTAAAACCAAGCATTCAATGCATTGTACAAGGAAATATTCATTTTTGGAAGAAAGGCAACATTGCCATTTTGAAAAAGCATACTTTTTACATTTTTCCATTTCTTGAGCCTTGGACTTGTTCTTTCTGCACAAACCAAGTCTCTAAACCTGAACAAAACATGTTTAAAGCTTCAAGCCACCCTATAAGATCAGATTGATTCCTTAAGAAGTCACTTCTCACACTTGCTTCAAAAACAAGAAATGTAGCAAGACATGTGATCTTGTACTTCTGAGCAAGCACAAGTCATTCAACCTTTTTCTCTATATAAAGCCATCATTTTGCAACTAAATCCATGCATGCCCAAGCCTTGAAACACCTTAGAATTAGAAATTGCATACCAA